CCTACAAGGTGCTGAGCATCTTCCAGCTTGGGCAGCAGCCTCTGCATCTGGGCAGGTCCGAGACTACTGCCTTCCTTTCCCTGACCCTGAAGTGTGACACATCCATAGTTCTCCTTGGCCATGCTCATGCTAAGCTCCCTAAAATGATGAGCAAGATTTTTTTGAACGTGCCACAATGCTTTTCACAGCAATGACTGTGTGACTATATGCTAATTGTTGTCCTCTGCTGGGAAGCTGGTGTGGCTTTTGCCACCAAAGCTATTTTAGTGCATCTCCTGCATTTTTTTGACGGTCAAAATGAAGATTTTATCTTCATTGCAATCGTTTTTTCTGCCTGTTTTAGAGCAGATAGCGTGGTGTGTTTGTATTTAATCATTTTTGTAGTTTAAAGCCTGAGTCAGTGAAGGCCAAATTTTCTGCATGCATCATGCTATTGAACATGGGAAAATGTATGGTAAGGGACTCCACAAGTGTCAGCTCACCTCTCCATTGTATCTTGTGCGTGGACAGCAGTAAGAGAGTGTTGTGTGCTTGCTGGATGCTTGGGAAAACAACTCTTTGTACCTAAGTGGCTAAGGTGAATTTGGGCCGAGCTGTAGCAATACACGGTTTCTGGCTGTGGTTAGGCTATGTGATGTAGATTTAGCATCTCTAGTTCCCAACAGAAAAGAGACTATTGTGAAAAGCCTCCCATGGTGATACCAGGAGAGGGTGTGGGTTAGCCATGAGACGAATCCTGCTCTCTAAGACAGAATTAAGGCATGTGGATGTTATTCGTGCTGCTTTTATGGATGCTTCAGGCCACTCTGGTCAGCGCAGCTCTTCTGACCAGAGTAAATTCTCTAAATATGTTTTGCTTTTGTCACTGTCCAGTTTTAGTCCAGTATAGAGGAATCCTAACTGTAATGCCTCCAAGTCTTGAAAATGCCTATGTAGGCACAGAAAAAGCAAATTATGCATGAAATGTGTGGTGTTGCTGTGTTTGAACAATGCAATCTGTAGGTGGCTAAAGGGCTAACTAAATTGCAGGCATAATGAAAGCTCTGTGGTATTTAGTATATGTTCTGTCAGCATTAAACAGTCACCTTGTAAATATATGTTAATTTTGAAGGTGTAACTGACCTTTTTAATATTAATTGAAATGTCTTGTGTTTAGAGGTTGGCGCTATCCTAGAAGAGACAGAAGCCTGTGACTGGTGGAGCCTGGGTGCTATTCTTTTCGAACTCCTCACTGGGAAGGTAAGGCTGGGGGCAAGTTACTCAATAGAACTGGCATCTTGGCCAGTAGTTTCTCACAAGCGGTGTGCCCAGTTGTGATTTCATTGCTTGTCTTTCTCAGATGTGCTTTGCCAACCTGAGTACCCTTAATTTGCTTGGTCTGCATGAGACCAGGGAAACCAAACATGCTCGGGCTTCAGCAGAACAATTTGATAAAGCAGTATCGAACTCAGGACTGAAAAAATAAGCAAAACCCATGCCTACCCCTCTCTTAACCACAGTGACATCAAAGTTCTCTAACACTCCTGTACGTTTACAAAATTTTAGCCCTAATAATTTCAGTATTATTTCCTGAGACAGTGTAGAAGACATATGTTGCTGTTACACATTAACTCAGTATTTTGAGACTTGCTTAGCCAAATCAAACTGGTGATTAGTTGACAGATCTGCATGAAGAAAGTAAAGTTCATCCAATTCTCAGACTTTGCAAGTTTGAGCAATAGAGCACAAGCACTAAGATGTAAACATTTTAAAACCGTGTCTCTAGGGGGACATCAGTGCCTGTAGATATTCCTTCCAGAATCAGTACTTCATACTAGGAAGCACTGAAGTTTTAGGGGTGTGTGTTAATGTGCATGTATAGTAGAGGGATAATCCAACACTCCAATTTGTAATTAATGAATGTATCTACTTGCTTTGACTTTAATTTTTCCTTCTCCAGACTCTGGTTGAGTGCCATCCATCAGGAATAAACACTCACACTTCTTTGAGTATACCAGACCATGTATCAAAGGAGGCCAGGTCACTGATTCAACAGGTAATTGAGGGGAAATTTGTTTTCTATAGGTATATGTGTAGACTGGAAAAATACCTATCTACCTAAGTTGTTCTGGTGAAATAAATGTAAAAACAGAAAGCTGCTGATGGAAACATGGATGGGTCTTTTGTCAGCACTGATGAAATTTGCCCAGCTGGCTTGTTGCATCTGGAAGCTTTGACTTCTGCTGCCAGATGTCTCTGTAGAAAAGCAGAGCGCTTTGCCATTTCTTCAAAGAACGAGTATGGTCAATGCTGAGTACTTTGGAAACACTAGCTGGTGATGTGTGACCATTTTAGGAATTCTGCCCTAAATGTTCATGGAAACATTTGTATTGAATTGAATTAAACTCAAAAATGTTGATGCTTATTCAGCAAGATCGCTCTAAGTACTATGAAACCTGTAAGACACTGATTAGAAGTTATGACCTTGCTGTGGTTGAAAATGTGTAGCTGTGCTTCAGGAAAACTTCTGGATGCCATTTCTTAAGAAAAGTACTTTAAATTGTAAATACAATGACTTTTGTAATAAGAAGATAACTGATAGGTGGACAAAAGGCAGAGTGGGAAACCTTAAAACGTAGACAACCTTCCAGACCGATATGCCATTTTCAAACTAATGGGAATAGTATTGACTGCTGGTTTTAGTTGACTCTTAGCTTTAGGTAGTCATGATTGACAGGATAAACTTGCAGTACAGGGTCTTGAATTTCAGGTAATGCTCTCTTCCTTCTTCAAGTTAATTTTGACGTAACGGAGGAAGTAGAGCCTGGATCTGACCTATTTCACTTGAATAAGTGATAGATGTGAACTATGTTGTTTGGCTTTGAAGAGTGTCTTGTTAGTAGTTGCATAAATAATGACATCACTTAGATGCAGATTTGAACAAAGCAGAGTGGAAAAAATAGTTCTTGAAGAAAATGAAGGAAAGAGATTTTGAAATTTCAATGAGTCAAAAGACCCAGTGACAGATTGATTTCTGTGCCGTTACTGTGAAACAATTAATGGAAATGGAACTAGATGTTTGGGCCTCCTATTTTCACTAGGTGACATGAATTCACTGAAGGTGAAGGCACGTGTCTGTGTGTTTCTAGCAAAGGTAGAAAGGGAAGTGACTGAAGATTTGTATAATCTGCATTTATATTGTTAGATGGTAGCAAGTTGTTACCCTCACCCGTGTGTGCTATGGGACTCAAATGGCTAAGGGAAAGCAAAACCACACTTGATGAAGGGAATTCCTCCTGTTAAGACTGGAAGCGAAGACAAATGAAGTCGTCCAGTCCACTTTTCCCTGCCAACGTAGGATTGTTCTTCGCTGCAGACTAATGTATTTCCTACTTCAAATATGCCAAAGAGTGACTCTTTTGCCACTTGTGGTTTAAGTGGCAAATATATCTCTGCCACTCGCAGATATATTACAAGGCCATATCTCTTCAGAGAACAGTCACCTCAGTGTCTGTTAGGTTAAGCCTTCTAGTGTAGGGTGGTGACTTATCTGGTGGAGGTTCAGCTATATGAGCCAGTAAATCACATTTTTTGTTGTGTGACTATCCAAGGAAGCTGCCATTCATTGTTGAGGAAACCTTGTCAGGAAAAGGAAGAAAGCTCTCTTGGCATGGATAGCAATTTGTCATTGCAACTTTCCTTTCCCCCACTGCCAAGGGTAAACAGGTCAAAGCATCACAGAATAACTCTCCAGGATCAATGTTCAGCTATACAGAAAACTCTGTCAGATGTTGTCTTCTGCTGTGGCTTCCAGTACAGGTGGCTTTGTTGTAGGCGCCTCCTTCATTTAGCCAGCTTCTAAGAAAACAGAGATCTGTTTATTTTTGGTGAAAGATGGAGTTGTTATTTTTATGTTGGTTTAATATTTTGCACCCAGTATTTTTTTAGGCACCTCCAAGCTTTACTACCCACAAAATGTGCAGCATGACTTTTCAATAGGCATCTGTTGCGGTTTGTGTTGCACCTGCTTTCTAAGATTAACGTTCTTCTGGATGGGCAAACTCCAGAAATAAGTGTCCGTGCTTACTTTCCCTCTGCTGGTGCTGGTTGTGTTTGAGCAGAAGAGAGATGCTTGTGGAAGTTACCAGAGCAGCACTGTTCACTGTCACCGAGCTACCTTTACTATGTGACGTTATGACTGCGAGTAGCAGAGCCGTCTTAAAATGTGTAAATTCCTATGTTTATGGATGTAGACTCACTTAGATGTTGAGTGCATTAAGATATGAATACACATTGTTCCAAGTGACAACTGGGAGAAGTTATCCTAGTAGCTGTTGCAGAAAAAGGAAGAAAGAAATCATGCCTTTGTACTGGCTGTAATTGAATAGAGTATAAACAGTTCTCTAAAATGGCAAAATATTTTTGTGTGTCTTTATTAGTCTCTTTGGAGTATTCCCTTTGCATTCCCTTTTATATGGATTGGTATCTTTAAACAGATGTAAATATTGTGATTTCCTTTTCACAGGAATTCAGCATGTGATGTACAACTAAAAAGCCAACGAGGTGCTGAATTTTAGGAAATTTCCATGAAGCCATTACACTGTTTTGTTTCTCACACTGGGATTTTGATTTTTCAGGTTTAGTCCATTTGTAGGACTCTGTAAAACTCTTTTTTTATTCTTTAGGAAATAGAGAACTGTCTGTAATATCCTGGTATTTTAGGACCAACTCACAACTTATGAAACGGAAAGTTACAGACCACTGTCCCTGATGTAGCTGTAACACAGTGGTGTGAGCGAAGGCTAACATGAAGCAAATGCAGTGTCCAGAGTTCTACTGATGCAGACTCTGGCTGCTGTTCTCTTTTTTTTTTTTAAAAAGGGTTACACTTAAAATGAAGTCCCAATGTGCAGTGCTTCAGGGAATTGCATGCTGTGATCAGTAGTCTCTGAAGACTGTAACACTGAGACTCAAGAAAAGCAGTCTTCTTCCATTTACTGGATTTTAAGAATTTCAGGTATGCCTTCGCACTCTTGAAAGTAATTCACAGAGCAGGAAAACGGTAGGATGTCCCTTACCTTAGACCTTTCTGGAACTTCTAAGTAGTTGTTTTTGTTCTTACTCACTGAATCACATATATATTTTCTTCTTTTTATGTCAAGCTTTTGCAGTTTAATCCTGCGGAGCGTCTTGGTGCTGGTGTTGCTGGTGTTGAAGACATCAAATCTCATCCGTTTTTTGCCCTTATAGAATGGGCAGATCTGCTGAAATGAGAGATGTGTGCCCTCTCAACAAACTCAGGTCAAGTGGACAACTTTCTCTGGCACAGAAGCACCCTGACTTGCTTCCTTTGGATGTCCCAAACCGTTTGGACGCGAGGACTAAAGGACGCTGGAGCGATCAGGCCAAAAGTGTATACTTTTAACAGGAATCACTGGTTGTACAGGGTGCTAGCTTATTTTTGCCACAACTGGTTGCTACGTGTGCGTAAGTCTCTTCACCAAAGGGTGGTTTGTGATGAAATTCCTGGGCAGCATGTTTAGCACTGCCAGCTTGTCAACAAAGTAGAAACCAAAATGGGCTCCTGGTGCTTTGTCTGATGATGGAAGCGTCTGCAGACTGTGCCAGTTGAAAGTATCTTTTATAGTGTCAATAGACCATTTCTCTATGCTAAGTGCAGCTCTGGGGGGACAGGAGGGAGGAAGGAAGGAGCAAATAATTTATTAATGGTATATGCTGAATAAAATACTAAAATGCTTCATGCAAAAGTTGACAAGTTAAAAATAATATATCCATTAAAAATTAAGAAAGCTGTTGCATAATACTGTGGAATGTGTCTTGAAAATGGCATATCATTTCCCACTGTGGAAAGAGCATATAAAAGGCAAATAATGCTGTCAAATGTTGTACTTTGTTGGCTGGCAATGTCTGTTTAAAACTCTTGACTCTGTTGCATTTGATGAGCTACATGTTAAAGTCACTACAAAAAGGGAAATCTTCTTTTCCTCAGCCGGATAAACACTGCTTTAGCACTCTGATAAGGAGCAAGAAAACATAGTGCTAAATAAATGTATAGATTAAAAAAGGAAAAACTCTTCTCTCGTCACCGCAGCCACCACTTTATCACTTAATGAACTTTGCTTCCTCTAAGTGTCCTATTTTTAGCTGCTACTTCAGGAAAAAAACCTCTCTGCTCGTGCTCTTCTGCTTGAGGAAGCTTCTGAACTCTCTTTTTTGTTTGTTAATAGTCTTAATAAATCAAAGAAAGCCTTCACCCACTCTGCTGTTCGAACTGGGAGAAGCCTGGGATTTGCTCATGCCAAATGACTAAGTGACATCTCTGAGCAAACCCTAGTGGGTAAGACTTGGGTGTGAGCCAGTTAGCTGACCTGTTTGTTTGTTGGAAAGATCTGGAGAATGGGAGAAGAATATAAGACATGCAAAATATTTTGCTGTGTGCTGCTGTTGCTGCTAAGCAGCCATGCTTGTATGGGTTCCTGACGTACAAATGCTGTATGCTGCGATGCTTGTTCAGATTCTGGGTCTGTGGGTTTTTTCCTAAATGTTCCCTTTGCTCTCGCTCTTTTTTTTTTTTTCTTTTTTCTTCTTCTCCCCAGCTTTATCCGGAGAACAAAGGGCAAATTCCTTTGGGAAAGTGAGGTGACAGCAACGATTATTGAATTTACAACTCAAAAAAAAAAAAAAAAGAATCCCTCCATTTGTATTTTTGCAGTGTATTTTATGGGCACTCCCAAAAGTGCATCTGCACAGTCTCCATCTGTTAGACACCAGGTTGATGTGTTCAAATAAAGTGGAAAAGGAAAGTGCTTCACTTAAACAAAGGAAATCTGGAAACTTTTTTTTTCCTTTTTAAATTATTCCATTCCCCTCGTTTTTCCTTTCTTCCCTTTCTTGTGATCCCCAGGCCAGCAGAGGGGCTGTAACAACACCGCAGGTTGTAACCAGGTCACTAGTATCACTGCCTACGGAGTGCTGTCCAAGATTACATCACTCTCAGAAACTGTGTTTCAACCTACCACCCTCTGGCTTCATAACAGGAACTCCCTCAGGTGAGCCACAGGAACAACTTCCTGCGCAGAGCGGGTCGGAAATCTCTAATGCGGAGACCAAGCTGATCCAGAGCTTCCTTCCAGCACTGCCCTGGCTGTGACTTTGGAGAGGGCTCGTTGCTCAAGGGAAGCCTCCCTTCCCTCAGCCACCTGACTCCATCCCTGAGGCTCTCTAGCCCGGCCACCAGATAATGTTATTGCCCATATTGATCTGTCTTGTTGCATTTGCCTGGTGATAACTGTAAAAAAAAAAAATAAATTATTTTCTGTGTTACTTTAAAATGCTCTTGTTCAGGTTGTGCCCATGTGCCAGTTGCAAGTAAAGGCAGCACAGGAGCGCAAGCTGGTTTCTCTGAGCAGCAGAAAGAAAAAGCTGTTCTAGCAGAAACTGGAGGACCAGTCACTCTCACTGCAAAGCATTTGGTTTAGTTAATGACACAGAAATATTTCTTTTTCAAGTATGTTGGTAGTGAGGAAATCTAGATCTCAGAGACTAGAAGGATTGGGGCACTTGGCAAGATGGTTTGCCAGAAATGAACCTTTGAGATGCTACTAGTTTTCATAACCTGACCACTGACTGAAATAATGGTTTTGCTAAAGGAATCACAGTCTGGAGTTAATTGCACAAAAAAATCCTGCTTCTATTTTTTTTTTTTTTTTTTGCCTTTAACGTGTTATGTTGTACTGGTGTTTACATGTATTCCTTTAATAAACAAAAACTTTCAAGCCTAAATCAGACCTTGGATTTCTGAACTTTACATTTAGTTCTTGAAGACAATCCTTCCAACCTAATCAATGCTTTTTGTGCTTGGCTTTTATGACTAGATATCTTCTTTTTGGTGCCTCTTACAAAGCCCTGTGGTAGACATCTTTAATTTGCTGAGTGTTAAGTAGTGCAAAGTCCATTCCACCTTCCTTCTGTCACAATTAATGGCTGATAGCAAAACAAATCAGTGCCGTTTTGTTGACAGGAATTAGTGAGAGTCTATGTAAAACACAGTAAAATAAGCTTACAGGTTTTCCTGTTCTCCTGTGAGTTCTCAGGTAAGGCAGATAACACACGTAGGACATCTCACAGTGGTAATTCATTGCACCCTATTGAACCACACTAATGTTTTTTTTGTGTCCTACTAAGAAAAAACTGGGAGATAAAACCTTTGTAGGCTTGCATGGGGTGGAATTGCTGTGAGGCGAGCCAGGGCCCCTGCCCAGACCTACGGAAGAAATTGCGTCTCATGAAATACAAGGGGCATAACTTTGTCTGCTTTTAATGGCTGTATTCACAGCTTCTGCACTTGTAGTGCAGCTCCTATATCTCCTGTGAAGATCACCTCTCAGACAGCAGTCACTGTCACGCTGACTCTCCGTGCCCCTTTGGGATGCTGAGTCGGCAGGGTTACCTGCGCCGGAACATCCACCCGGCTCCTCTCTCCGGTGCTAAACCTGTTCCTTGGTGCGTCCCCGCAGCGAAGGGCACTGGGATGAAGAAGGCTGGGGAGGTCAGCCTTCTCTAAATGAAGCACTCAGCATAACAAGGTACAGGGAAGTGTGAAGTAAACCACTATGGGATTTTTTTTTTTTTTTTGGAGTGTAGTGTCATTTGTTTTCTCAAGGACACCGAGTAGGAAGCTGGAGAAACAGAAACTTCCTCTCTGGTGAGATTTATGGTAGGGATTTTAGCAATAAAATGAAAGAGTACATTTGTTGGTTCCTTCGGGTTCGTGCTCTCCGTGTGGGCTCTGCTGTGAGCTGAACGCTCTGGTTCCCGCCCGTGGCCGCTGCGTCCATGACAAAATGCCCCCGAGTCCCCTTCCAGTCAGCGGCCTCTGCTGCTGGAAGCAGCTCTTGCAGCTGGCCCTCAGCTTCTTGTGTCTTCTGTGGGCTGCACCTAGCCTTCAGCTGGGAGCCCCTTCAGATGAGAGTCCCTTCGGATGGGAGCCCCGCAGCTGTTTGACTGGGTCCGAGGAGCGGCATGGACGGGATTTCTCTGTCTTGTGGCATCGTCTATGTTTAACGTTGTTATTTAGCGTATACCCACCAACAAATAGTGGGCTGGGGCATAGCGAGGACCAGACCAGGCCTGGGGATTTGGATTCCCTGTGCCTGTAAGGACTTTTTCCATATGATATTGCCTCCGGGGCTGGAGCCTGTGAGAGCGTTGCACCAGGGTGCCGCAGGAGGACCAGCACTTTGGCAAGGCCACGAGACGGGGCTCAGCTCCCGCCGGCGTGAACACGTACGGGGGTGAGATGGGGGAGCGACGGGCTTGGCCAAGCAGTGACAGGGACACTGGCAGCTGCGGCAGAGGCACGGGGTGTGCGTGAGGGGCTCAGGCAGCCCCCCAGGACAGGGTGCCTTGTGCAGCTCCGGCTGCGGTTTGCTACAGGGTGGCAGAGCCAAGTCCCAGAGGGGGAATGGGACTGGCTTGAAAGGTGCCGAGCAGCTGCTGTTGGCAGCGGGGCTTCACTGCCGGCGCCGGCTGCCTCCTGTGCCACGGGGCCGGCGGAGGGTTGGTCGCTGCCTGAGCCATCTGCAGGAGCAGAGCCAGAGAGTCCTGGCCCAAAGGTGAGGTGTCCTCAAGAAAATCCCAGCTTCTGGGGTGGAAGTGGTCCTGCCTCCTGCTAGCACCGTGCAGTGCCATCTCCTGTGCTCCTGCTGCTGGGCAGAGGAGGCTTAATCCAGGAGCAGCAAAGAGGATGCTCCGGGCTCCTGGCAGCAGGTGACGGCTTAGCGCACTGCCCCAAAAGGACCTCACTACCTCTTGGCAGACCAGAGGCTTTCCTTCTCCAAAGACAGCTCGGCCTCCGTCTTCTTGGCCCAGGGACCCATCAGGAGGGATTAGAGCTGCTGTCAGAGGGCTGCAGTGGCACCATGACAGGCAGGAGGGCTGGGGAAGTGTGTGATGCTGGGCAGTGGGGAATTAGCATCCTCTTGGGGAGGCTGCGGGTTGTTGCCTTGATGCTTCACTGCTGAGATCCTAAGGTTGGCAAGTTGGGGAAAAGTCCTTCTGGGAGCAGTAAGCTAGACAAGCCAATTGGCAAGTGGTGGAGCCGGATAAAGATGGGCCAGCCAGGGAAAGATTGTGGGGTCAGCGGTCCTCCCTAGCAAAGCCTTGCTAACCTCCTTTTGCTTTGCCTTGGAGACAGAGCTGGTTTGCCTCGGTACGACCTCACCTCTAGCAGTTTCTCCCATCCCCTTCCAGGAGCTGAGCCATTTATCCCTGGGATACTTTCTACATTTGCTCAGCTGTTTCTATCCGTGTCCTGTGTTACATCTTTCGGCCCAGATCACAGATTTTCTTGCCCTTTCTGTGCCTTTGGTTCTGAAATGTTGCCCCAAAACACCGGGACCCAGGAGAGGATTATCAGATGCAGGTGTTATCCCCATGTACCGATGAAAACAGAGAGGATTACTTCCACAAAATGAAAGTGCGAGGGTTGTAAAAGGGTTAGGAAATTGCTTATCCCAGTGGTGTGCGAGTAACGAGAGTTTTATGGTGCCCTGCACAGTGGTGGGATAACGAGGAGAGAGCCTCCATGAGAGGGGCTGGTGCTGCACCATGATTTAGAGCACGGTGCTGGCTAGCTGCGCTCTGCTTGTGGTCTTGCCTGTGTGCCGTGGTCTGATATTTGCTGGCTCATAATCTTCCTTTACAAACCAGACATGGAGAAGAGCTTCTTCAACAGCGAGGACCATGAGCCAAGTGGCATATAGAATTTCTCTAGATTTTAAATTTTTGTTTGTTTTTTACATCCTTCCCAACTGGCCTGCCTCCTTGGGCTCCTTCCTTTCCAGCCTCATGCGTGCTT